CCTCCTCCTCCTCCTTCTGTATCTCCCATCAAACTTTAAACTGCCAAAATGACACCATCTTCTTGGCTTCATCATTGACCAAAAATCGGTACATGTTTCTGGTAGTAACTGACATATCACCAGATGGGCTGGACTCTGTGTCTCTCCACATTCTTGTTGTTATCCACTAAGAGCCTCCACTCAAATATATTGTCAGTTTTGGAAGCCATATTTTACTCAGAAGCTGCCTGGGAATTTGGGAGGGGAGGATTTCATGGAGAGGTGGAAGGTTAGACATAACAACATTTTTCTCATAAAGTCAAGGACAAGTTACCCTTCACCTGCAAAGGAGTGTCCGGAGGAATGTCTCCAGTTGGGACGATGGGTGATTGGGCCATGTGATGGACTGGTGAGTGCAGGGGATGGGCTTTTGAATTTTCAATTGGGAAGGGAAAACCCGGAACTCTCAGATTCAGATTTTCCCAGATGTGCTAGTATGACTTCCTTAATAAATTCCTATTTGGATGAACTTTGTTTCTGAGTGATGAATGGAATGAAGATTTTAATCAGAATTGCTGTCCTATATTGGTTTTATACTTAGGCTCTCCAACTCTCAACCTATTCAGTGTCCTCCAAGCAGTATAAGGGAGTTAAAGTCTTCAGCCATAGGATCACATACCATGCATTAACAATTACTGTGAGATACCACAGACAGCAGTCCAAGCACTCAAATACCCAACACATTATTTCTTTTTCAGTGTAATGAACTCAGTGCAACATCTTTTAAAATATATACTTCAAATGAGAGCATTCATTTAAAAAAAAAAGCTTCCCTTTTAGAAATGTACCAAATAGGATTAAATAGCAACAGCACTTAGACTTATATATCACTTTACAGTGCTTTACAGTCCTCTCTAAGTGGTTTACAGAGTCAGCCTCTTGCCTGACTCAATCTGGCTCCTCATTTTACCAACCTTGGAAGGATGGAAGGCTGAGACAATCCTAAGCCAATAAGGATTGAATTCCTGACTATGGGCAGAGCTAGCTTACAATACTGCATTTTAAGCACTGGGAAGGAAGGAAGGAAGGAAGGAAGGAAGGAAGGAAGGAAGGAAGGAAGGGAGGGAGGGAGGGAGGGAAGAACAGAGAAAAAGTGGAATGAAAAAGAAAAAAAAGAGAGAAAAAGGGGAAAGAAGGGCAATAGCACATAGACTTATATACCACTTCACAGTGCTTTACAGCCCTCTCTAAGTGGTTTATAGAATCAGCCTCTTGCCTGACTCAATCTGGGTCCTCATTTTACCAACCTCATAAAGATAGAAGGCTGAGTCAACCTTGATCTGGTCAAGATCAAACTCCTGTCTGTAGGCAGAATTAGCCTGAAATCCTGCAGTCTGTGCCACCTCTGCACCCCAACTCATCCCCTAAATATTTTTCATCTCTGGTTGGTTGGTTTTGTTTCCTCTTAACACTTCCTCTGATTCACTAGTGTTTTCAAAACATCAAGGAAGACAACCATGTACCGTATCACATATAAAGCTTAAGTATATGTAAAAGCATAATTTAGATTGTCAAGTCAGGAATCAGCCAGTGTAGCCCTTGGTAGGATAGGACTGGTGTATAACTATGGTGAGGTTAGATGCATTCATAACTACAAAGCACTTTTCCAGATTAATGACTTGAAGGAGATTTATAAGTACATGGGAGTACAATAAATATATACTTCCTCTGCGCCAAACTGCAAGATAGAATTAAACACCATAAAAATACAGTCTCTTCCTCTTCCCCTCCTCTTTGAATATTGTTCTGTGTTCATAAAGCATTAATTTTCCTCTTCTTTCTTTTAAAATTGGATTGTATTGTAGCTAGCCAAACAATAAAAGAAAACAAACATTAAACAATCGGAGAATGAAGGCTTACAAGAGATGGCTCGGGTTTACGCTTATTAAAATAAATGGCTAATTGCCATTCGAGCATTGGGATTACAGAGCTCAGTACAGTCTCTTTCCTTCTGTATAGATTTTTTTCGGCATTCAACCCACTTGTGGATATATAAAGACACACAACAAAAGTCTACATTCGACAAAAAGAATGTTTACCGAGTTTAAGTCCGTTTTTTCCCCCCATATCTGCATAAGTTTCCTTTAGGAAAAAAAACCAGTACATGTCTTCAAATTAGGGGGTTTTTTTCTTCTTGCTTTTTTCCTGGTTTATCATTTGGCCAAAGATTTGCCCTTTCCTGCTCCTATACATGTTTTTGTATGTTTTTTTTAAATTAACACACACACACACACACACACACACATGTATACACATATACATATGTGTATACCATTAGACCTCCTTGCAGTAATAGCCATTATGGTAGCTCTGTGAAGCCACTGATTCTATATCTCGCCAATAACCCAAAATTCGGGGAGCGTCCAACTAAAAACAAAGGGAGTTAAAAGTGCAAAAGCAAGACTCAGCAGATACCTTTGAAATTAAACTTCCTACTTAGAACTTCTCTCTAATCAAGGAGAGAAGCAACCTAGGACTGAGGAGGAATTTCCTGACAGTGAGAACAATAAACCAGTGGAACAACTTACCTCCAGAAGTTGTGGGTGCTCCAACACTGGAGGTTTTCCAAGGAAAGATTGGACAACCATAAAGTTTCCTGCCTGAGCAGGGAAGTGGATTTGGAAAGTCCCTTCCAAATCTGTTATTCTATTATTTGTCCAGAATTGTATAGGGTTTCCTGCTTGAGCAGGAGGTTGGACTAGAAGACCTGCAAGGTCTCTTCCACCCTTATTATGGGATGTTCGATGTTCTAGACACTTATAGCTTTTATGCACACTAAGAACTTATGCACCGAAGACAAATTCCTTGTGTGTCCAATCATATCTGGCCAATAAAGATTCTATTCTATTCTATTCTATTCTATTCTATTCTATTCTATTCTATTCTAGTCTAGTCTAGTCTAGTCTAGTCTAGTCTAGTCTAGTCTAGACAAGACAAGACAAGACAAGACAAGACTAGACAATGTGTTCTAGTCTGTGTTCTAAAACCACTTTTATATTTTCAGATTCCTGAAAGAGTATTTGTGGCAGCTTGTTCTCTCCTTCCTCTGCCCATTCCAAATAACATCTGGTTTCAAATTAACCCTGCCATTCATTCTTTTCTGTATGCTAACACATTACAGGAAATGTTCCAGAACAGGGGGAAAAAAATGTTATAAATTTATGTATCTACACTTTTTCTAAACTGGCCTCCAAAGTTATTTGCTGGCAAAGTGACTCTTTGATCCAGGCCATTGATGTTTGTGCTTCCAATCTTGAACTTATTGTTAGATCACTACACATTCGACCTTCCACAATCCATGTTGATCTTAAAGCAAGAGACATTTCTAGCTGGAGGATTTGCTCCTCGTCTCGCAAACCCAATCACTAAACCTTCTGCAACTTTTCAGATATCGAATGACAACTTTCCAGCTGTTCTTGTCAAATCCACTAGAGGAGAAGCATCTTGTCAGTCCACAATAGGAGTAGCACTGGGCTTGGGTTTGGTGGTGAGAAAGGAAGGGCAAATTCATATAGCCACAGTTATACAAACTGCCTGCCATTTGAGCTTGGATGAAGGGGATGCTATGGAAACAACCACAAGAGGAGGCAGAGGAGGAGAAGACATGTTGTCTAGCAACAAGGAACGTTGAGCAAGACAGTAAATAGATGGAAAGAAGGATGGCAAGTGTAAAAAAGTCAGGAAACCAGAGTTGTGTGCAGAAGCAACTTGCAGCATAATTTTGGAAGTTCCACCGACAGTCCGGACTTTGTTTCTCATAATGATCAAACCTTTAAGCATGAGAGGAAAGAAGCTGTTGCTTCTTGGTAGCTTCTGGTTGCATATTGCCATCATGGCTAATATTGACAACTTTATCTCTACTTTCCTCTCCTTAAAAATAGAAGAAAAAGAAGAATTCCCTTTAAGGACATTGTAGGCCATATTTTGTGGAAGATAATTAAATAATTTAATAGATATTGCTTGAAAAAAAGCACTTTAAGATGAAATGGACAGATGAATGGACAGATGGATGGACAAATAGATCATAGATAGATAGATAGATAGATATGAAGCAGGACCAGTGAAATATATAAAACAAGCATTAGATGGATACAGGATATAACTTAGGGTAAAGGTCATAATTGCTTTCTCTATAGCTTGCTGCATCTAATATTGTAATTCTTTCACTTGAAATGTAACGGAACTATTACTGTAACTGAACATAAGGGTGGGTATGGAAAAGTACTGGTGGTGTAAGATAAAAGAGTAAGAAGAAATGCATATTATATTCTTTTTTCCATTTCCTGTTGAAGACAGGATGTTTTGCTCTTCCTTTATCATAACCGTGTAACAGTTAAACCATAATTGGTAAACCTTAAGATGTACGCCCAGATGTGTGCTGAGGTCATAATGTGTATAAAGGAACCATCCCAGGTGCGACTGGGGGGGGTTCAGAATTTGACATGCTAATGCTCTGAACGCTTTGCGCAATAAACCTGAATTCTTCTACCTTTATGTGGTCTTGAGTCCTGTTTAGTGACCAGATTTGCTGCTACATCTAATGGCGACCCAGATGGGACTCAAGGGGCCCTGAGGCCCTCTGGAGAGGTCCATCCCAACAGCCGGTGTATCGGTGAGTTGCAGGGAACCTCCCAGGCGCCATCGGACCTTTGAATCCGAGGGACTTCCCCAAACCTCTGGTCTCTGGCGTTGGCGATCGGCCTTTTCAAGAACCACCAGTGAAAGGTGAGAAGAACAGGACTGGGGGCTGGCCAGCCGTGAAGAAGGAAGACGCCTGCAGGCAAGTATTGGATTGGGAAAATAATCCCTCCCTGTAATCAGGGACGGAGGAGAGGACTGATCACCCTCTCTTACAGGTAATGTGGGTGGACTTGTCCGGTCTGTGTGTGAAGAAAGACTACTGCAGTTCCCATAGGTGACTGTGAGTGTCCAGCACCGTGGGTCAGTAGGAAGCGAGTGGCGTCCGCAGTTCCCATCGGAGACCGTGAAGATCCGGCTCCCTGGGTCGGGCGTGGGTGTGTGTGTAACACCTTGCTGTGTCTAGAGGAGGAGAGACCCCTTACTCTCCCCCTCATCCCTACCCTCATTTGTGTTGTCTGGTTATCTGGGAGGACCATGGGTGGGAGACAGAGTAAGCCAGTGACTCCTTTAGAGGTCATGTTGAAACACTTTAAGGAGGCATACCAATCACAAGATTATGGGCATAAGTGGAGTAGATTGAAACTAAAAGAATTCTGTGAGGTGGATTGGCCTACATTTGGGTTTGGGTGGCCCTCGATAGGTACACTGGACATCCCCACCACAGTGCAGGTACACAGACTGGTCTTTCACCCTACCTTGGGACATCCAGATCAGGCACCATACATAGATGTCTGGCTGGATCTTTTAAATCACCCACCCCCTTGGTTGCGAAAACTGAAAATGCAAAGGTGTAAGGCCCTATTATTCCGCAATGTTACTTTGAAAACACTGCGCAGAACTGCGCAGGTACTTCCCAGTTGCCCGGAGGAAGCACCACATCCTCCACCATACGTGCCCCCAGGAGGGTTTGATGATGGAGAGGAAGATGAGGAATCATCAGGGGTCTCTGGGTTCATGGCCCAGTTGGATCAATTGTCTCCGTACGTAAAAAAGGTAGATCGTTCAGCTCAGGCTGATCCTCCCCAACAGGCATCTTCTACACCGGTGGAGAAATGGCCTGACCCAATCCCTCTTGAAAGACTCGAACGGTCTTTGAGTTTGGATCAGGGGGAGGGGACTTCATCTGCGACCGAGCCGGTTGCTGCCAGGACTCGGGCTAAAACAGAACAGGCCTCTCTAGTAGCCCCTTTGAGGCAGGTAGATCAGTTGGCCATCAACCCTAAAAAGCCCTCTGAGTCCGTTACCCTCTCACTATTCCAACATGTGCCTTTCACTTCATCGGACTTGCTGAACTGGAAGTTACATTATGGCCCGTTCAGCGAAAAACCCATGGAAGTTGCGGATCTGGTTAAGACAATAATGGATGCCCATAATCCCAATTGGCTAGATGTCCAACAACTAATGGGAACGTTGTTCAGTCCGGAGGAAAGGGAGAAAATTAAGAATGCAATTAGTGAGATATTAAAGCCTGATGTCACCCTGTATCATTCTTTAACTGACCTCATGGATGAGAAATACCCGTCTAGTAACCCCGACTGGGATCTTTACACTGACGAGGGAAAAACAAGATTGAGAGACTACCAGTCCCTAGTGGTGCGGGCCATCCGCCTTGCAGGAAAGCCTGTGATTAATATGTCAAAGCCTGCCTTAGTGTTGCAAGAACCCACTGAGAGTCCGGAAGCGTTTTACACCCGACTGGTAGAATCATACCGCATGTATACCCCCATAGACCCTTCGGCCCCTGAGAATGCACGTATGATGACCATGGCGTTCATTTCCCAGAGTGCCCTGGATATACGACGTAAATTGCAACGCCTTGAGGGAGCCCTGGGAAAACCCATGAGTGAATTGATGGAGGTAGCCCGCAAAGTCTTTGCCAATAGGGACAAAGAGGAAGACAAAAAGAAGGACCATAAAATGCAACGAAAGGCTGAATTACTGGCGGCGGCCATTGCCTGGCCGTCACGGGGACGGGTCAACCCTCTACGAGGTATGGGGCCAGGGCCACAGAGGGGAAGGGGAAACAGTCTGCAAAGGGGGGTTAGTTGGGACCTAGGCCCTAATCAGTGTGCCTTTTGTAAACAACAGGGACACTGGAAGGGGGAATGTCCCGAAAGGAATGACAGAGGGAGGTCAGGAGATAGGGGAGATTCGCCAAGGAATCTTACCTTTGCAGTGGAAGGTGGCCATAGGAGACCAGTGGAAAGAGGCAGAGGACGGCATGATGGGAGGAGAGGTCTGGGGAGACCTCCCCTTGTTGGCTTGGCTCAGGTAGAAGAATGGGACTGAGGCCGACCGGGTTCAGAAAGCCTCCCGGAACCTATGGTCAGCCTGAAAGTGGGAGGCAAACCCGTCACCTTCTTAGTAGATACCGGGGCCACCCAGTCTGTCTTAACTCAACCTATGGCCCAAGCATCTCGACAGACCATAAATATTCAGGGGGCAACGGGGAATACATTACAACGCCCCTTCCTAGAGCCTCTTGAATGCACTGTGAAGGGACAGGCTATAACTCACCAGTTCGTTTACATGCCCGACTGCCCTGTCCCGTTATTGGGAAGGGACCTGCTATGTAAACTAAGGGCCCAAATATCTTTTGCGGAAGACGGCTCCATGCATTTGGGATATGGGAAACTCGGTTTCTCCATACCAATAGAAGAATCGTGGCGTCTTATGGTAGCCAGAACGACGGGACAGGAGACCGAAGAAACGTGGCGGCAGTTTGAAGTTCCTTATCTATGGGCAGAAGACAACCCCCCTGGTTTTGCTGCCCACCACCCACCTATACTGGTGGAAGAAGTACCAACAAAACCTCCTGTTAGAATCCGTCAGAGGGCATATCCCCGTCATGTGATGCAAGCCATACAGGATATAATCGACATATACTTGCAACACCACATTTTAGTGCCTACTGAATCGCCATGGAACACACAGATATTACCCATACCGAAAGGGGATGGCCGCTTTCGCCCGGTCCAGGATCTGAGGCCCGTTAACCTTGCCACAGTCACCATTCATCCAGTAGTCCCCAATCCATATGTAATACTTGGCTTGATCCCGCAGGCCGCTCAATGGTTCTCTGTCATAGATCTAAAGGATGCCTTCTTCACCATACCCATACATGAGCTTAGCCAGCATTTGTTTGCCTTCGAGTGGGAAAACCCTGCTACAGGTCGGAAACAACAGTATACTTGGACAAGGCTGCCCCAAGGGTTTAAAAACTCACCTACTTTGTTTGGAACAGCACTGGCCAAGGATCTGGAAAATTTACACATACCAGCCCCTGACTTAGTGTTACAATATGTAGATGACCTATTAGTGACCGGCCTCACAGAGGACCATTGTTGGGAAAATACGAAGGATTTACTCTCCCTACTCCAAACTTTGGGATATAAAGCATCTAGAAACAAGGCACAATTAGTATTACAAAAAGTCAGGTATCTGGGATATGATATTGAGCGGGGAAAACGCACCTTGGGTCATGAGAGGAAGGAAGCTATATGCCAACTCCCCAGACCTATAAATAAGAAGGACCTGAGGGGATTTCTGGGGGCAGCTGGGTTTTGTCGTATATGGATCCCCAAATTTAGCCTCATTGCAAAACCTCTCTATGAGGCTACCAAGGGGGCAAATAGGGATCCCCTCCAGTGGGGGCCCGAGGAGGAGGCCAGCTTCTGCGCTCTTAAACAGGCCCTGTTGCAGGCCCCGAGTTTAGGCCTCCCTGATCTGGACAAGCCATTTCAGCTGTTTGTGGATACGAAGAAGGAGGTAGCTGTGGGAGTCCTTACTCAAACAATTGGATCTTGGCACCGCCCTGTGGCGTATCTTTCTAAGCAGCTTGACAATGTAGCAAAAGGATGGCCTGCTTGCCTGAAGGCGGTGGCAGGAACTGCTCTATTGACCCAGGAGGCCAACAAGCTGACCTTTGGTCAGCAGTTGGATATCTTTACCCCCCATGCTCTCAAATCTGTCTTAGATATGAAGGGACACTTGTGGCTGACCAACCCCCGCATGCTTAAGTATCAGGGGCTTCTCACTCACAACCCTATGATTACTCTCACTCAATCTACTCTTCTTAACCCGGCCACATTGTTGCCTGAGCCGGACATGGGTGTACATCACGATTGTATCCATACCATTGAGGAGACATACGCTAGCTGCCCTGACATGACGGACACACCACTACCCGCTCCTGATTATTCCCTGTTCACGGATGGCACCAGCTTTCTACAGGAGGGAATGAGAAAGGCAGGATACGCAGTGGTTACCTTAGATGAAGTATGGGAAGCGAAACCACTACCCCCGGGAACTAGTGCGCAACTAGCAGAGTTACATGCCCTCACACGAGCCTTAGAATTGGCTAAGGGCCTAGCGGTAAACATATATACAGATTCCAAGTATGCTTTCCTAACTGTCCAGGTTCATGGTGCTCTGTATAAAGAAAGGGGGCTTATCACGGCAGGGGGAAAAGATATCAAACATGGCCCTCACATATTACGCCTCTTAGACAGTGTTTGGTCCCCAAGTAAAGTGGCGGTTATGCATTGTCGTGGACACCAAAAGGTGGTCACGGATATTCACAGGGGAAATGAGCGTGCTGATAAGTTTGCACGCAAAGCTGCCATGCTAGAATTTATCCCGGAGGAGAGGAACCTTGCAGTTTGGCTGCCAGATGACAACCCTAAACCCCATTACTCCTCAGAGGACAGGGACCGTCTGGATGCTCTCGAGGCACACCCGGACGGTCACTGGTGGGTTTTGCCAGACAACAGAGTATATATTCCCGCACACATGGCTTGGGATGTGGTGCGTCAAGTCCACCAACGGCTACACCTAGGAAAGACCGCCCTGACTAATGTATGTATAACAACACAATAAGATGTTACTTTCTGCGCGCCCCCTGGGTCTCGGTTAAAAATAGCCGCTCTCCCCGAAGTTCTGGCTCTGAGTTGGCATCACACAA